AAAGCTCTGAACTGGTCGGACAGCACCGTGGTAGGACCGAGAGCTTATTTCGTCACAGTAACGAAACCGGCCTCACTTTCCCTAGAAGCGGTTCAATTGGACGACGAAGGGATCTATCGGTGTCGAGTGGACTTCAAAAATTCGCCTACGAAAAACTTTCAAGTGAACCTCACTGTAATCGGTAGGAATTCACATACACAATATAAGAAAAATGTTTTGAACGAAAACTACTAAAAATTTTGTTAATATTTGTCAATTATTTTCAGTTCCACCGCATCAACTTTTAATTTACGATAGTTCCGGGGTGGAAGTGGAAAATACCGCAGGACCATTCCAAGTGGGCGTCGAGTTTGGTCTGTCTTGCGAAGTGAGAGGGGGTAATTCTTGTTTGTACCATCACTAAAAAATGTTCTATTAGTGTTCGATTCATTAATATTTAATTCTGATGTTGAAACGTAGGAAAACCAACGCCAGTGGTTAATTGGTTGGTCAATGAGAAAGAGGTGGACAGTAAGTTGGAAGAAATCGGACGAAATATAGTCGTCAGTAAATTAACGATACCTCAGTTGAGAAGAGAACACCGGAACACAACTTACAAATGTCGAGCTGCGAATACAAACCTCATACCTCCGTTGGAGAAAACCATTCTCCTAGATGTATATCGTACGTGTTAAAAATATGTGATCTAATAATTCTCGATACTTGTACGCAAGGTGTTAATGTATGATTCCCTTAGTGAAGCCACTGTCGGTAAAAATTCTGTCGAAACCAACAATCCTCGAAACGGAAAAGGATTACTCCATCACGTGTGAAACAACAGGCTCGCATCCTCGAGCACGAATCACTTGGATGGAGGGGAACGCCATTTATCACAGTGGCAAGGTAAACGTAGTTGATTTTCTATGAATTTATAGAACGTATCATAATATTTCGTATTATTAAAGTTAAGATGATATGCAGGTGGTCGACGCAGGAAATACTTCGGTGGTCTTAAGCACGCTCATATTCTCACCGATTCCTGACGACCACGGGAAGATCCTCAAGTGTCGAGGGGAGAACCCAGCACTGCCAAACGCGTATCTAGAAGACTTCTTTCAATTAAACGTAGTTTGTGAGTACCTCTGAATACTTACTAAAAGTATTTTAACAAAGATAATTAATCGAAAATATGTTCCTCAGTTCCACCTATAGTACAATTACACTTGGGTAGCACTCTGAACGCTGAGAAGATAAAGGAGGGTGACGACGTCTATTTCGAGTGCAAAGTTCGAGCTAACCCGGCACACCATAAAATCACATGGAGGCACAATGTGAATATTTCAACATCAAGATTTTCCTTATGATTTAATGGAAACAATTGAAACAATGGTTGAATGATCGTAGGAAGCGGTGTTGACGCAGAATTTCTCCGCTGGAATAATCATGAGCACTCAGAGCCTCGTATTGCAAAAGATAGGTCGAGACAATGCCGGAAATTACACGTGCCTCGCTAGCAACGATCGTAGAGAGACTACAAGTCCTGTGGTTACTCTACGAGTACAATGTAAGTGTAAAATTTTACTACGGGAATTATTACGATTAATCATCGCATTCTACTTTCATTCCTGTTCCCTAAATCGTTCAGTCGCACCGATGTGCAAAACAAAAGAGGTTTCTATCATCGGGGCGTCGTTAGAAGAGTCGGTGAAAGTTCGTTGCGAGGTGGACGCTGATCCAAACGAGGTAGAATTTTTCTGGGAGTTCAACAACAGCGGCGAAAATTTCGAGGTTGCGCCAGCGAAATTCGACGGCAATAATGGAACAATGAGCGAGCTCATTTACACGCCAGTCTCTGACAGAGACTACGGAGCTTTAACTTGTTGGGGTAGAAACGTAATAGGAAAACAGGAAGCTCCCTGTATTTACCAGATCATTCCAGCAGGTAACATTTGTACCCAAACTAAAAACTCATGAAAGATACCTATGTAAAAAAGAGATCAATTTAAGATTGATTTGCTCAGTGAAACCGAATCCTCTGAACAACTGCACGATAAAAGCATCTTTGAATCAAAGTTCTGAGATCCTGGAAGTGGAGTGCGTGCCAGGATATGATGGTGGACTAAGGCAAGAGTTTCGTTTAGAGGCTTACGAAGTACCCACCGGTAATTTAAGAGTGAACGCGTCCAGCGTATTTGCAGATGTACCGATATTTCGTATCGCGGTGTCAGATCTTCTTCCTGCCACACATTTTTACCTCGTCACATATGCCGTGAACGCAAAAGGGAGGAGTGAAGTGAATCAATTGGAGGATATAATGTTGAGGGACTCTGAAAAGCATATAGGTAACGAGAAATATTCGAAAAATCTTTGAGTCTGTTTCTTGTAATTGTCTCTGATGGAATGATTAAACTGGTAATATCCTATTTTAGACAGTGGAGTGAGCATGGTACAACTGATTCTACTGCTTATTGGCTGTTTAATGGTGTTTAGTGTCGCCACAATCTCAGTGATGCTGCTGGTGTATCGACGCAGGGGCACAACTTCTCCGGTTCACATCGAACCTTACATGAAACAACCGATAATTACACCTCCAGATTCAAGGAACAACTCAATGCTCGACGTTACGCACGGTGATCATACTTATTTCGTCGAGTACACGTTGAAACAGGTCCCTGATTACACGCTCAATAATCAACCGGACATCATACAGTCGCCACAAGGTAAGACTTCTTTTTCCTGCTGTTATTTCTGGTGCATTGTATAACGCATTTACGATATAATATGAGAGGTTTGATTGTAGACCAGGAAAAGATAAAACGGGAGCCACAATTATTTTTACCTGTGCGACCAGATACGCTATTTGCACCGTATGACATTCATAAGCAAGGACTTCAAAGTAACAGATGCAGCGTAAGTAGTATCGCATAAAACTATTATAAAGAGTTCGTTCAAAAGAAAAAAGAAGCTACAACTTGCGAATTAATGAAATAATTGTTTAACCATTTTTGTTACAGTTAAATCCATTTTCCACAAAGTCTTGGGAACCTATTAGTTTTAAAGCTGATCGTAATTTAATGAAGGAGATCATTATCGCCAACTCTATACCTGGTCCAGAAAGTTGTGTGTAAAAAGTAAATTCGAGATAACGAGCGAGCAAAACATATCAAGAGGACCGATCTTAAAGCCTACAAGAAAAAGAAGAAACGAACGAACAATCGTACTGTTAATTGTCATATTGATACCGAAGACGAACATCAAACGAAACTGCAACTGGTCCCCTCGTCGAGTTGGTGTACAATTCCACAAAAGAACAGCATAGTACGAATATTACAAGGTATTACACCGCTTACAGGTAAAAAAGAAAAAAGTGTCTCGTCATTGAAAAAGAAAAAAATCTATGGAACTGAAAAAAACAATCTAGGAATCGTCAAGACTAGTTGCATACTAACTAAACGCTACACGTGGTGTATTATTCCAAGTTTAATATATTTTGTGTCAAGTCTTAGCTGGTTTCCTTATTCCGTCGAAAATTTCACCCACTTCTTCTTTAACAGTTCGCTTTGATTTCTCATTGTATTACATTACGTTTTAAGGGATATTATGTTATTGCGTTATTTCTAATTTTTATAACTAGTCGTAAGTATGAAATATACATATATTTAAAATAACGCGTGTTTGACCTGGGTGTATCGAAGAGATGTAACGCAAGATTTTCCATTATTGCAAAGATACGCGCGGAAATAAATGCCATACATTGATGCCATCAACGTAATAACTACAGCGATCAAGATTATCATGCAGATTCTTTGTCGAATTTTCTTTGAAATATGTAGTATCCATGCTTGACGAGAAGGCATCGTTGATCTCCTTATAAATACAGTACCTGACGTAATATTTGTTTCTTTAGCTGCATTTTCTGTTACATTTGCTGTTTGCATCATGTTATACGAACTACCCTTTAATTCTTGCACACGGTTTGTCTGCCATTCGTCCAACGATGAAGACAAGTTGTACTAAGAAAAGAAGATCATCTATGTTACTTCGGTTCAACATAACCGTAATATTCAAAACTAAAAGATTTCATTAATGCTTAATATTACTTCAGTATCGTTAAATTTACGTATCTGTCGGCGAACTAATTGAATTACTTTACACTTCATATGTTTTATACTTATTATAAAGTCATCTTCATCGGTATCGTAGGGACTGCGGTTGTAAATTTGCTCATCTATGTACTTATCACGACATGAACTTCCGTCGCATATCATTTCTTACCGTACATGTCATTCTTCTGCAGAATAAAACGTTACAAATGAAGATCTAAACAAAACAATTGAAATACGAACACATTTCACTAATGTAACTTTGACATTTGAAAAATTTTTTCGTAACCATTATCTTCAATGAAAATTTAACATGATGCATCACATTCGATCCGCTGTAAAAATTAGTATGAAAGTTTGTAACGATATACTTTTTAAATCCATTTAATAATTATAAGAACATGATATCATTTTATAGATCAGATCAAATACCCTTTCAAGATATTTTCACTTAATTCGAGCTCAGAAGCATCAAGAACCTCCCTGTTATCCCGCGTCTGAAGAAGAATTAATAAAGTGTCCCACAGATACAGTTCCTTGTAAAATTAAAAAGAAAACGAGGAAGAAGAAACAGATTCAACGAATCAGTATAAGCTCCGATGAAAAAACGGATAATCCTGATTGTCCATGGTGTAGAAAAAAATAAAAAGGAGACGACAAAATAACAAATATTTGGTTTCCTTTTTTATTTTTAATTTTC